GAAATAGAGGTGGGAATGGCAGGTCTTGGGTGCAAAAGTCTGCCCTGAGTTGTCCACAAACCATTGGTTGTATGCAATTTGTGCTTCAATTGGTTCTGTTTTGACTGCTCGGAAGCGCTGGAGCTGTTGTCGCAGTCATCCCCTCCACGACAACAAACAACGTTACGGCTCGGATGGAACCGTAGATAATATACACTCTAGAAGTCAATTCATTCAACAATTCAGTGTACATTCAATAGTACTAAAGCTTGTCTACACTTACCATAACACAGAGGCCAACAAAAAAGCTGGCAAAGTGTCCGTACATTGCGATCGTTTTATACCACTTGCTGTCATCGCAATGGGTGTACCAAAAGGTCATTAAAATGATATTCTCGAAGAATATGAATACATAGTAAACAGTGTATCGTTTTCTTGTTGGTCTGTCAACGGGATTGAAGTAACAGAATATAAACATAACGCCTAAAACTGCGTTATATCCGAGTTCTTCGCATTTATTATCACAGAACTGAGTCCTCATGGAAACGATCCATAAGAACATAATCAGCCAATGAATGCAACAAACAATGCTTATGTAAAACCGGAATTCACTGGCAAACAGTGCCAGAGCTAACACACGCGACGCTATCGAGAAAAACCGCCAAATAAACTGAATAGCAATTCCCTACACATTCACACAAAATGCAATTTATAAGTATTGGAAACTAACAAATGTAACAATAGATAACACACCGGCCAAGTCATGTTCGCCTTATCGGGCAATGATAACCGTAACGCCCGATGGTATGAGACCAGTGACCACGACAGCGACACCAATGACGCCAACACTGCCACTATTTGGGCCACAACTGCACAATTCAAACCACAATTACAACCACTTTTCTAAGACCTATTAGATTGGGTGAAGACATACCGGTCCAGTCATCGCTGGAATGTGGATTACCACGCGCTAAGATATAGAGCTGAAGCACCAGTTGTGGGGCCGCTTCCATAAAGCACTCGAATAGCCTCAACATCGCTGCGTCCGTGTCTTCGTATACCATGTATTGGAAGTACTTTTTCTGCGTTTCTTTTGAATTATTTTTTTGTCTAAATTTCAATCCATACATAAGTGAATCGAAATAACGAAGAATTGGTCCCAATTGTAATAATAAGAATATGATTCTCATAATCCATTGACAGTTGGAGGTCGGGGGCGAACCCACTTCGCGCGAGTCCACGACATACCAGCGCAACGATATTCCCGTCATAACCAAAGTGGGAAGCATTACAAACGCCAGCGTTAGACCAAAATACCTGTTCATGTAATCATCAAAAATTAGTTGTGTCTTAATGTTTGTTAAGAGAGTAATTGCTTATCAAATTGCATACCAATAGTCTTGATTAAGACAATGAAAAGCGGCGACCGCTATATCTGTTCCGATATCGAAGAGAAAGCTGCCGATAGAGAAGAGTATAGCGAACACATCCAGTATAGTGAACGTCATGTGGTCTGGGAGTGCGTCCACGCGGTCAAAGTCGCCGCTTTCGGCCGCAAATGGCATGTGATGTGAGATAAGGGACGGACGCGAAAGTCCTCCTCCGCCGCAAACGTAAGACTTCTG